TCTAAATCTAGGTGTAATGAGTTCGCACAGTTTTTCGATGACAAAGTACAAGGAATCAAAAACACTATCACCTCCACAGCACGTATAACAATGCAACAGCCAGAGAAGCTTTTTGAGCTAACTCACTTTGCACCTGTGGATACTGAAACTGTCAAAAAGATAATCATGAGTCTGAGCTCCTCCACATGTAGCCTGGATATATTGCCCTCTAAATTTCTGAAGTCCGTCCTGAGCAGTTTGTTACCTTCACTGACACAAATAGTAAACATGTCTCTGTCGTCAGGAACATTTCCGATGGCCCTAAAAACAGCAGTCATAAGACCTCTCCTAAAAAAGAGCAGTCTGGATCCTGCAGGACTTCAAAATTATTGCCCCATATCGAATCTGCCATTCATTGGAAAAATTCTTGAAAAAGTGGCCTCCCAACAACTTACTGAATTTTTAACAATGAATAATTCTTTTGATATGTTCCAGTCTGGGTTTAGACCCCACCACAGCACTGAGACCGCTCTAGTGAAGGTAACAAACGACATTCGACTTCACACTGATGTATGTAAAGTCAGTTTTGGTCATGTTAGATCTTAGTGCCGCGTTCGACACTGTCGACCATGAGATCCTCATGCAGAGACTGGAGGACTGGGTTGGTGCTAAACAGCCCTAGACTGGTTTAGGTCTTACCTTGAAGACAGGAAGTACTTTGTGGAGATTGGAGACTGTGTCTCAGATCATATGGCCCTGACCTGTGGAGTACCACAGGGGTCGATCCTGGGACCTCTTCTGTTCAATCTCTACATGCTGCCGTTAGGTCAGTTAATACGCAGAAACAAAGTGTCCTATAACAACTATGCAGACAACACTCAGATCTATGTCTCACTGACTGCAGGAGAACATGGACCAGTGGACTCACTCCTTCACTGTATCCAACAGATCAGTGAGTGGATGCAAAACAACTTCCTTCAGCTAAACGCAGACAAAACTGAAATGATTGTCTTTGGTCCCCAGAAACAAAGAGAGAGCGTCATCTGTCACCTCCAGTCTCTCTCCCTAAAACCTTCAAACAAGGTCAGAAATCTAGGGGTAATACTGGACTCAGACTTAAATTTCAATAGCCACATAAAATCAGTAACATCAGCAGCTTTTTACCATCTAAAAAACATTGCCAGGATCAAAAACATAGTGTCTAAAGCAGACCTGGAGATTCTTATCCATGCATTTGTCTCCAGTAGGTTAGACTACTGCAATGGCCTGCTCACAGGTCTGTCCAAACAGGCTGTAAAATAGCTGCAGTACATTCAAAATGCAGCAGCTCGAGTCCTGACTAGAACCAGGAAGTACGACCATATTAGTCCAGACTAGAACCAGGAAGTACGACCACATTAGTCCTGACTAGAACCAGGAAGTACGACCACATTAGTCCTGACTAGAACCAGGAAGTACGACCACATTAGTCCTGACTAGAACCAGGAAGTACGACCACATTAGTCCTGACTAGAACCAGGAAGTACGACCACATTAGTCCTGACAAGAACCAGGAAGTATGACCATATTAGTCCGGTCCTCAGGTCTCTGCACTGGCTTCCTGTGGCTCAGAGAATAGACTTTAAAACAGCTCTGCTTGTTACAAGTCTCTCCATGGCCTTGCACCAAAATATATTAGTGACATGTTAGTCCCATATGAACCAGCCCGGACTCTGAGGAGCACAGGGACTGGACTCCTGCTGGGACTCTGAGGAGCACAGGGACTGGACTCCTGCTGGGACTCTGAGGAGCACAGGGACTGGACTCCTGCTGGGACTCTGAGGAGCACAGGGACTGGCCTCCTGCTGGGACTCTGAGGAGCACAGGGACTGGACTCCTGCTGGGACTCTGAGGAGCACAGGGACTGGACTCCTGCTGGGACTCTGAGGAGCACAGGGACTGGACTCCTGCTGGGACTCTGAGGAGCACAGGGACTGGACTCCTGCTGGGACTCTGAGGAGCACAGGGACTGGACTCCTGCTGGGACTCTGAGGAGCACAGGGACTGGCCTCCTGCTGGGACTCTGAGGAGCACAGGGACTGGACTCCTGCTGGGACTCTGAGGAGCACAGGGACTGGACTCCTGCTGGGACTCTGAGGAGCACAGGGACTGGACTCCTGCTGGGACTCTGAGGAGCACAGGGACTGGACTCCTGCTGGGACTCTGAGGAGCACAGGGACTGGCCTCCTGCTGGGACTCTGAGGAGCACAGGGACTGGCCTCCTGCTGGTGCCCAGAGTGAGAACCAAACATGGGGAGGCTGCGTTTCAGATCCATGCAGCTAAGATCTGGAACAATCTCCCTGAAAATGTGAGGGAGGCGTCTACTCTGTCAATGTTCAAATCCAGGTTAAAGACTGTTCTGTTTGCTTGTGCTACAACTGAAGGATTTTATCTCCATTTCTAATGCACTTTTGTCATTTATTATTTTTATTTTTTAAATTTCTTGTGTAATTTTGAAAGTTTTAATGGTTTTAATCTTTTGTGTGATTTTAATGTTTTAATTGTGATTCTGGTGTTTGTTTTATGTGATGATTTGTGATGTGGACTGTGAAGCGCTTTGTGTTGCCCTGTGTATGAAAGGCGCTCTACAAATAAACTTTGATTGATTGATTGATAACTGAGTGTAGCCTAAAGTTCGGCTGGACTACTTTGTCAAATAAACCGAGTCTCAAAGAGAAAAGAGCAGAAATATACGCAGCAACCGGCTGTAGCTCTATGCTGCGTTAGCATTAATCACAGCTAAAGGATAGCAGGAGATTGCGCAACATTCTTAACAAAACACAGGGAAAATACATAATTTCACGACTCACCGGTGAGTAGAGGGCAATTTACAGTCTGCGGAAAGGGATCCTTGTAGAATATGCGAGTGGATCTGCAGTATAAGTTTTAATCAGTTTCAAGCACCCACAAAGTTTACTACAAAACATGAACAAATTACGCAGTATATCGACTCACCGATAAGTAGAGAGGGGATGGATCAATGACAATTAAGTCCGCAGGACGAAATATCGGTGTAAAGCGTTAGTTTGCTTATTTGAAAAGGTTTCAAACAGCGCCACAACAGATGGCAGCGTGAGGGGCTGCTGACAGCTATCAATCCTAGCGGAGTGTCAGAGAGGAAGTGACCCGGGGGAGCAGCTCCTATATGAGAAACGAGCCTGCCAAAATAAAAGTGGGGCAGGACCAGTGGGGGAGGGTCCCAGCTCAGAAGTGGCCAAAATGACGTGCGCTGACACGCTGCAATACCACCCGGGCCTGTGGGGGTGGACCCAGAAGTAGAATTAGCAATGCTAACATATAGCGTTAGCAGACCTCTCAAAAACGTCTTTACAGGATGGACCAAAAGTTGTCTCTTGGCCCAAAGCTCCGTTCCACATGTGTGTCAATGCTGAGGGTTCTGGACCAGTCTAGTTTAGTCGCTGTGGACTTTAGAAGTCTCTGTTTAAATGAATGGAGCTGCTCCGGCTGACTCATGCGCAGATGCGTTTTTTCACAATTTTCTTGTGGGCGGGACCACTCGCGGCCATCTTGGATTGCTCCAGTAGAGCACTTTTCATGGCCAACTCCTATGAACGGCGGAGATAGGCGTGACTCTGTCCATTAATATATACAGTCTATGGGCAGGACGCGGCCTCAGCCAGGGACCTGGGTTACAACTGCAGTTAAATAATGTTTATACTGGTTTTTCGGTAGAATTAGTTCAATTTATATTTAAATATGAGATTTTAATAAAAAATATATATATTATTTATTTCATGTAAATTTAGGAAAAACCAATACAATAGTGTTCAAAGAAGGCACAAGTAACACCAGAACCATGTTATTTTCATAAAAACATGCTTTTTCTGCAGCTTTGAAAAATAGGAAAGTAAATGAGCTGGACAGTACTGACACTAACAAATCACTGTATGGTGAATGTTTACAGAGGTATACATGTATATGTATAATAAATGAATATATTTTTATGATAATCTATATATATTTTTACAAAGAATGTGCATTAAGAAGAAATAGTTATACTTCAATTAAGACAATCACCATTTAACGTTCAAAAACAAAATAAATATTGAAAGTTATTTGCAGAAGTAATCTCATAAAAAAACAGTTCAAAGTCAAACATTCTTTGTGTATGTATTAAAAGTATGAATATTGAAAAATGTGATCTATTGTCACCTCATGTTACATTCACTTATTATATTATATTCACTTTATTTAGGATAAAACTGCATTAACGCCTCAGGCTTATCGGCTCCTTTAGATTACATTGATTAGCTTAGCATAGCATACTCAATACAAACCGACAGGACTTTAGCTAACACCAAGCTAATGGCTAGCGTCACTCACCAGTTTAGAAGCTCTGAACTATGAACAGTTGTAAAGTGCTTTGGGTGATCTTGGTTTGTTAAATGCGTGCGCTATATAAATAAACATTACATACTTACTAGAAGTTCAGAAAATATAGCTGCTTAACACAGCTCACATACCTGCTAGCTCCTCTCCTGGTGCAAACCCCAATGCACTGCTATTATTACTGAACCCAAGCCCCAATATAGAGTGCTAGCACATAAAAACATGATCTAATGTTATCATCATAATAATAGCATAGAATCTTAGTTTTTCCATTTAGCGTAGACATAGTAGTTCACTCTTTAGGCTCAGTGCTCAGGGATATGATATGTTAATTAGGGGCAAAGTGTCTTGCCCAGGAATTAAAAAACAGCACACCTCGGGGAGAGCAGATGGCATTTTTGATTAAAACCACTGACCAGTGTTCTATTAACCATATTGTGAACATTATGTTTTTCCACCCTGTCCAACAGCACGAGTAGAAATACATATATAGTTAAGGTTCCATAATCCATGAAACATTTCTATATGAATTGGCTTACATCCATATGAGACATGTTTGGCTACCCTGGTCTTCATTCATTTGAGGACCTCTGTATGTACTGTACATGGTCTAAGGTGTCCTTCATAAACATCATTTCTGCTCTCCTCTGGTCTCATGCTCTCTCTCGATCCTCTGCTCTCCTCTGGTCCTCTGCTCTCTCTCGATCCTCTGCTCTCCTCTGGTCTCATGCTCTCTCTCGATCCTCTGCTCTCCTCTGGTCCCATGCTCTCTCTCGATCCTCTGCTCTCCTCTGGTCTCATGCTCTCTCTCGATCCTCTGCTCTCCTCTGGTCTCATGCTCTCTCTCGATCCTCTGCTCTCCTCTGGTCCCATGCTCTCTCTCGATCCTCTGCTCTCCTCTGGTCCCATGCTCTCCCATGGTCCTCTGCTCTCTCTCTCGGTCCTCTGCTCTCCTCTGGTCCCATACTCTCCCGTGGTCCTCTGCTCTCTCTCTCGGTCCTCTGCTCTCCTCTGGTCCCATGCTCTCCCATGGTCCTCTGCTCTCTCTCTCGGTCCTCTGCTCTCCTCTGGTCCTCTGCTCTCTCTCGATCCTCTGCTCTCCTCTGGTCCCATGCTCTCCCATGGTCCTCTGCTCTCCTCTGGTCCCATGCTCTCCCGTGGTCCTCTGCTCTCTGTCGATCCTCTGCTCTCTCTCGGTCCTCTGCTCTCCTCTGGTCCCATGCTCTCCCATGGTCCTCTGCTCTCTCTCGATCCTCTGCTCTCCTCTGGTCCCATGCTCTCCCATGGTCCTCTGCTCTCTCTCGATCCTCTGCTCTCCTCTGGTCCCATGCTCTCCCATGGTCCTCTGCTCTCTCTCTCGGTCCTCTGCTCTCCTCTGGTCCCATACTCTCCCGTGGTCCTCTGCTCTCTCTCGATCCTCTGCTCTCCTCTGGTCCCATGCTCTCCCATGGTCCTCTGCTCTCTCTCGATCCTCTGCTCTCCTCTGGTCCCATGCTCTCCTGTGGTCCTCTGCTCTCTCTCGGTCCTCTGCTCTCCTCTGGTCCCATGCTCTCCCATGGTCCTCTGCTCTCTCTCGATCCTCTGCTCTCCTCTGGTCCCATGCTCTCCTGTGGTCCTCTGCTCTCTCTCGGTCCTCTGCTCTCCTCTGGTCCCATGCTCTCCCATGGTCCTCTGCTCTCCTCTGGTCCCATGCTCTCCCGTGGTCCTCTGCTCTCTGTCGATCCTCTGCTCTCTCTCGGTCCTCTGCTCTCCTCTGGTCCCATGCTCTCCCATGGTCCTCTGCTCTCTCTCGGTCCTCTGCTCTCCTCTGGTCCCATGCTCTCCTGTGGTCCTCTGCACTCTCTCGGTCCTCTGCTCTCCTCTGGTCCCATACTCTCCCATGGTCCTCTGCTCTCTCTCGGTCCTCTGCTCTCCTCTGGTCCCATGCTCTCCCATGGTCCTCTGCTCTCTCTCGGTCCTCTGCTCTCCTCTGGTCCCATGCTCTCCCATGGTCCTCTGCTCTCTCTCGATCCTCTGCTCTCCTCTGGTCCCATGCTCTCCTGTGGTCCTCTGCTCTCTCTCGGTCCTCTGCTCTCCTCTGGTCCCATGCTCTCCCATGGTCCTCTGCTCTCCTCTGGTCCCATGCTCTCCCGTGGTCCTCTGCTCTCTGTCGATCCTCTGCTCTCTCTCGGTCCTCTGCTCTCCTCTGGTCCCATGCTCTCCCATGGTCCTCTGCTCTCTCTCGGTCCTCTGCTCTCCTCTGGTCCCATGCTCTCCTGTGGTCCTCTGCACTCTCTCGGTCCTCTGCTCTCCTCTGGTCCCATACTCTCCCATGGTCCTCTGCTCTCTCTCGGTCCTCTGCTCTCCTCTGGTCCCATGCTCTCCCATGGTCCTCTGCTCTCTCTCGGTCCTCTACTCTCCTCTGGTCCCATGCTCTCCTGTGGTCCTCTGCTCTCTCTCTCGATCCTCTGCTCTCCTCTGGTCCCATACTCTCCCATGGTCCTCTGCTCTCTCTCGATCCTCTGCTCTCCTCTGGTCTCATGCTCTCCCGTGGTCCTCTGCTCTCTCTCTCGATCCTCTGCTCTCTCTCTCGATCCTCTGCTCTCCTCTGGTCCTCTGTTTTACTGTTGTGGGCATTGTGCATTGAAACTGTCTACAGCAAGGGCACATGGTACTAAAGAAAGTCCATTGACATTTGGAACATCACCTAAAGCAGGGGTGTCAAACTCATTTTGGTCCGGGGGCCACATACAACCTAATCTGATCTCAAGTGGGCCGGACCAGGAGATGCTCTACAAAAATATCCAAAAACGGTACAAAGTCCAACTTTTTGTGCACATAAACACATTTATTTAAAACTTCCTTTAAAACACTGTCCTTTAATACTCAGTTTTCTGTTACAAACTTAAATGTAACAGTGAGTTTTCCATAGTACAAATAATGTAATGTATTTACAATATTACATTGAAAATGGTATTTCACAATATGTATATTAATATTTGTATGTTAGCTTTGTTTTAAGGCTCATTACAGAGAAAACCTGCTCACAAAGGTAAAGTAGGTAGATAGAAAAAAGCACTTAAACACAGCACCTCAGCTTAACCATCTTCAGTGTGGTCAGGTCCATGGTTATGTTATTATCACATTAACCATCTTCAGTGTGGTAAGGTCCATGGTTATGTTATTATCACATTAACCATCTTCAGTGTGTAAGGTCCATGGTTATGTTATTATCACATTAACCATCTTCAGTGTGGTAAGGTCCATGGTTATGTTATTATCACATTAACCATCTTCAGTGTGGTAAAGTCCATGGTTATGTTATTATCACATTAACCATCTTCAGTGTGGTAAGGTCCATGGTTATGTTATTATCACATTATCCATCTTCAGTGTGGTAAGGTCCATGGTTATGTTATTATCACATTAACCATCTTCAGTGTGGTAAGGTCCATGGTTATGTTATTATCACATTAACCATCTTCAGTGTGGTAAGGTCCATGGTTATGTTATTATCACATTAACCATCTTCAGTGTGGTAAGGTCCATGGTTATGTTATTATCACATTAACCATCTTCAGTGTGGTAAGGTCCATGGTTATGTTATTATCACATTAACCATCTTCAGTGTGTAAGGTCCATGGTTATGTTATTATCACATTAACCATCTTCAGTGTGGTAAAGTCCATGGTTATGTTATTATCACATTAACCATCTTCAGTGTGTAAGGTCCATGGTTATGTTATTATCACATTAACCATCTTCAGTGTGTAAGGTCCATGGTTATGTTATTATCAGAGAGAAAGCATCAAACTGACCATGATTCACTTGAAATGAATAAAACAACTTCCATAACCAAAGCAAAGGAAGGTTTCTCACCCATCATCTGTACTTCTTAGCAAGTTTTACTTCCATAACGTGATCCATTCTTAACGACTGCAGCAGTGTCTCTGTGTAAAATACAGTCAAATGTCCAAAAATCATCACCTCCATTTGCAGCTTTGTCACTACACCTGTTTTTACCATCGGTACCAGTCCACACTGTCCAACACACCAGCAACAACAGCAGAACCAGCAGCAGCACCAGCAGCAGCGCTCAAAACTGCTCTGATAGTTTCAGTAACACCACAAATGAATATGTGACATCAGTAACATCAGTCTCTTATCAATGGCAACATGTTGGTAAAAGCGAGTAGTTTCTCAGACCATGTCTGCAGCCTGTGAGAGTTTTAACAAACTCTCTCTCACTGTGCGGCTGCGATGCTAATGCTAATGTTGTTAGCACAGGTAGCTTCCCTTTACAGCAGCACTAACCTCTCGCTCTGGGCACAAACAGACTGCTGTGTCTTCAGGGCCAGACAGGTTTATCTTCTGTTTTCTCAATTCTCCGCTCAAAGTGCCGTATTTTTCGCCGAGTCTTGTAGTTTAAGATGTTATTCCTTCAGCACCGCTCTGGTGGAGCCACTACAGACGCACTGGACTCACCCCTGAGCGCGGCGCTGCGGCGTCGCGTCGCGTCGCGGCGCGGAGCCTCGCGTCGCGGAGCGGCTTTTTAAAATGTAACTTTATTATATTTTTACATAAATGAGCCACGGGCCGTGTCAAATCTCTTGGCGGGCCGGTTCCGGCCCGCGGGCCGTATGAATGACACCCCTGACCTAAAGGCTAATATTCAGTGATACAGCCTGTGATTCTGGGTTATGGGAACGATGGGGTCAGTCAGTGGGGAACAGTCAGACAAAGTTATTGGGTCTTCTGATTGGTCAGTCAGTGGGGAACAGTCAGACAAAATTGTTGGGTCTTCTGATTGGTCAATGGGGAACAGTCAGACAAAGCTATTGGGTCTTCTGATTGGTCAGTGGGGAACAGTCAGACAAAGCTGCTGGGTCTTCTGATTGGTCAGTGGGGAACAGTCAGACAAAGCTATTGGGTCTTCTGATTGGTCAGTGGGGAACAGTCAGACAAAGCTATTGGGTCTCCTGATTGGTCAATGGGGAACAGTCAGACAAAGCTGCTGGGTCTTCTGATTGGTCAGTCAGTGGGGAACAGTCAGACAAAGCTATTGGGTCTTCTGATTGGTCAGTGGGGAACAGTCAGACAAAGCTATTGGGTCTTCTGATTGGTCAGTCAGTGGGGAACAGTCAGACAAAGCTATTGGGTCTTCTGATTGGTCAGTCAGTGGGGAACAGTCAGACAAAGCTATTGGGTCTTCTGATTGGTCAATGGGGAACAGTCAGACAAAGCTGTTGTGTCTCCTGATTGGTCAATGGGGAACAGTCAGACAAAGCTATTGTGTCTCCTGATTGGTCAATGGGGAACAGTCAGACAAAGCTGTTGGGTCTTCTGATTGGTCAGTCAGTGGGGAACAGTCAGACAAATCTATTAGGCCTTCTGATTGGTCAGTCAGTGGGGAACAGTCAGACAAATCTATTGGGCCTTCTGATTGGTCAATGGGGAACAGTCAGACAAAGCTGCTGGGTCTTCTGATTGGTCAGTCAGTGGGGAACAGTCAGACAAATCTATTGGGCCTTCTGATTGGTCAGTCAGTGGGGAACAGTCAGACAAAGTTGTTGGGTCTTGTGATTGGTCATGTTGTACTGATCTTGTTGTAAGCAAGGGCCAGAGGGCATGACCCAGCTGTTGCAACAGGCAAAAGGGCCACTGTGCTTGCCTTTCCCTCCACAGGGGTTGACTCACAAAACCAGTCCCCATGGGAGTGCGCAGTCTGAACGTTCACGCAGCATTTTAGCTGATGATGCAGTGAACGGTTTAGAGCTGCTTCACCTTAAGAGCTTTTTAAGTCACAATTTCTCATTTCTTCAATGCAGATTTTCATGTTTTTTTTTTCTTTTGATTTCAGCCCTGGAACTGTGTTTGTTTGTGTTCATTGTTTTGTTTTTGTTTTTTTTATGTAAAAATATTCTCCTATATGACGCACACATCTGGTTTTGAATGTCCCCATAATGTCCAGGGCTACAGCACTCTGACGAATACAAAATGGAGGCTAGACTTTGTCATGACACACACATCTGGTTTTCTACATCCCCATAATGTCCAAGGATGTCCCCCACCCAGAGCCGGCGCTTCCTATACGCAGACTACGCAGTATGCGTAGGGCCCCGCAGCTGGAAGGGCCCCGGAGTGCGGGGGCTCTCACTCGTGCTGTTACGAGGCCCTTTTTATCCGGAATCACCCATTTGATTGGTTGTTAAAGTTGTCACTTGCCGTCTCCCATGATCCTCATACGTTACGTCCTTACGTCGCACTTTCAACCCTCCCCTCCCTCCCCCTTGTTGTTGTCAGTCGCACAGCCACAGCAGAGGCAGAGACGCTGAAGCAGAGGGATGAAAAAAGGAAAAAAGACAGCAAACTGCGGGAACAACAGACGGGTAAAAAAACGTGTGGTTCCCGACCCGACGCATTGACTGTCTGCAAAGAAAGTTGAATATTGTGTCTGACATGTTTTATTTCTGCTTTTAACGAGTCCCAAAAGAACTTCATCAGTCAAGCTCTTTGTTGTGGTTAAGGTGGACACAAAATAAACGTGCTTCCTTTGATAATTGGAAGTATTTTGTTACATTTGTAATTTAGACATAATACTAACAGTGTTTGTATAATGCGCTACTAATATTAATATTAAGGTAATATATTAATACTAGTGGTGATAATAATGAAACTAGTTATTATTTTTATTTTATATAAAATGTATATATTATATATATATATATATATATATATATATATATATATATATATATACTTATATTATAGCTAATATTTGTATTTTGTTTATTTTTGTATTTTAACATGTTTGTACACTTGTCTTTTGTACACAATTTATTCTATCCGTGCCAAATGTGACATGAACATTTCTCCTGAGTGAGATCAATAAAGTCTTACTTATCATATATTTAATCGTGTGTGAAAAGTTCAAATGTTTTTTTTTATCTTCGGTTGAATCCATCACTAATCAAGTCTTATATTGCTTGATTACTGTGAATTATTTATTTGTAATATATATGTGTAATGGAACTTATGCTTGCTTTAATTTTTATGGTTTCTTGAGTTAGGTGTATACGGCCCCTATGCTGACTTCTGCTTAGGGCCCCAACAAGGCAAGCACCAGCTCTGCCCCCACCTGCTGCACTGTGTCCAGGGAACAGCCCAGGACTGAGCTGGACTTCCTGATGTTCCAGCTTCTTCCCTCTCTGTGATGCTGCTGTTCCAGCAGACCACACCGTACAAGAGGCTGATGCCACCACAGAGTCATAGAAGGTCTTCAGGAGTGGCCCCTGCACTCCAAAAGACCTGAGCCTCCTCAGTAGGTAGAGGCGGCTCTGGCCCTTCTTGAAGAGGGCGTCTGTGTTATGAGTCCAGTCCAGTTTGTGGTTCAGATGAACACCCAGGTACTTGTAAGAGTCCATTGTCTCAATTCCCTTTCCCTGGATGTTCACTGGAGCTGGAGCAGCAGAGTGACGTCTGCGGAAATCCACCACCATCTCCTTGGTCTTCCTCACGTTGATGAGGAGGTGGTTCATCTCC